AAAACCATTTGGAGATACATATCAGAAGCCATTAAAATGTTTTGAACCTCTGTCTTACTAATCCTGTTCCTGAGGATTGTTCCTAAGGAAATGCCTTTTTAAAAGGATGGAGTGAGCAAAATATGTTAAGATATTTATTGCATCATTATTGGGAATAGTGAACAATTGGAAAACAACCAACATTTCCATCAGAGGAGCATACTTAAGTAAAAGATGGTACATTGATCCAATGAAAAATAAATATGCAGACTGATGAGCCTGTCAGATGTTAGGTGGGCTCACCCAGGAGGCCTGCTGGGCCCAGGAAAGGGAATAAGGACAAATATGGGCAAGAAAGGAAAGGTGGAAGAAACGTAGACACTAGGTCGGCCCCAGCAAGGGCACGGGAAGGGGAGCTATTATTTATTTACTGGGCACATCTCTTTCAGTATCTGACTTAATCTTCACTCAATCCCATGAGGGTGGTACTAATACCATTCTCATTTTACAAACAAGGACCTGAGGCTCAAAGAGATGGAGTGCTTTGCCCAGGACCATCTAGCTTTGAAGTAGAGGAGCTGAGATTCCAACCTAAGTCTATGTGATGGCAGAGCAGTCAATGCTTTTCCTCTGCACCATGAAGCCAATTGCCAATGATGACCATGTTTGACCATGTTATCTATGGGGTGCCCCTTTATCTTGGCTCTAGTATCTTCCTTCAGTCTTGGAGAAACAGGGCCATGCCTGAGTGGATATCAGGGGCTGGCAGTTAGTAGCTAAATTATATATTCTATTTTTGTTGCTGAGCAACAAAAATAGAATATATAATTGAGTCAGTGATGAAAGCAGCCAAAAAAAAAAAGTTATGCTCACAGTCAATAGCAGAGAGGGGCAAGAGGAAATGGAAACAGATAATGCGTGAGTGGGTGCTCTCCTTCCTCTTTCTCTTATTTTTGGGGTATCTGTTCTTTTCACCATATTATTTGCACAATTGAAAAATACATTTTACAATGAAAAATGGAGACCTAAAAAATATGAGCCCTTGGGGTGGCCCATGGCCATGCCTTGAATGCAGCTGCAGTTCCTGGCCTTCAAAAGCCGTCTGACGACAGTACTCATAAAGAAGTTGGCTCCTTCTGGACGAAGGAAGGAGAGAAATGCAGTGGGTCTTTGCCATTACTCTCCAGATGTTAGTGTCATTGCTACATTCCCGTGAAGCTCTCACCTGGGCTGGGGAGGTGTGGCAATGACTAGCAGTTCCCAGCCCAGGACACTTTGCATGTAATGATTATTGTTGTTCCCTGTTCATAGCTTTGGCTCTCCTGCCTGGGGCTCAGGTTCAGTCTTGCTGGGGGAAAGGCCAGTATGGGATTGACGGACAGAGTTAGCAAAGAGCAAAAAAGGTCAACCTCCGTGCTTGGATTTCAGGGCTGGAGCCCCGTAACTTTTTCCTTTTTGTATGCTCCATCCATACCTCACTTGATTTTATTATGACCTCTAGATAACTAGTTCTTTTAGGATTCCATGCATTTGCCTGTTCTGTTCCCTCAGTCTGGAGTGCCCTTTTTCATGCTTCCTGGCAGAGCTAAACCCTGCCCATCCTTTAATACTATTTCCTTGAGGAACTTTCCCAGTCTCCTCGGGCTCCCACTACACTCGATTTGTACCTTTCCTGTGGCAATTGTATTTTTCTGCAGTATGTTATAGTTATTTACATCCATGTCTGTTTCTCCCACTATCTGGTAAGCTTGTCAAGGTGGGCAAGGAACATGTTTTATCCAACTCTGATTCCATACACAGTGTGGGCCAATGTCTGGTATATGGTAGGTGCTCAGTAATGTATGGAATGACATTAAATTAAAATGGCTGAATTCTTCCTCTCTCTGTGTCATGGACTCTCTGGGAAAGCTGCTAAGACTGTAGGCAGATGACGAATCAGTTTTATATCCATTTCTTTCTTGTGCATTTTAAAGGGGCAGGAAGAGGAAGAGAGTTAAATACAGCTGCGGATCCATATTCCAGAGATTTCAGTCAGGGGTAATTAAAGGTTGTAACAGTATGAACAATAACATGTACAGAGACTCTTACTTACACTTTCACATATATTAACTCTGCTGGGTCTCACAAGGACTTTAGGAAGCAGACTAGGTGGGCAATAGTAATTGGCTTGTCCCAATGTTACAGCCAAGGAAACCAAAGCTCAGCAAAATGAACTGATTTGCTCAAAATTACATCAACTCAAAGTAGAGCTGAGACTCAAACCCAGATCTCTTGACTCCAAACCTCATGCTTTGGAGGTTGCAGAGGACAAAATTAC